TATCAAAAATTTTCTTTGAAATACTCATCTAGTGAGTAAAAACATTTCTCCAATAGGAGAAAAAATTTATAAGAAGGGAAAATATTTCTACATGAATGGTCATAGGAAACTCCTGCCATTAGTCTCAAAATTTTCTTTTGGTTAATGAAAACATCCCGTGCATGGATAGTATTACCCCACAGACACAACCCATATCTCAGTCGTGAATTTACTTGAGCGTGATAGAAAGTTATCAACTGATTTTGTTCCAGTACCTCTTTTAAATTTCTAAAAAGAAATGTAATGCTACCTAACTTTGACACTAACTGTTCACAAAGAGATTTCCAGCTAAGAAATTCACCAACATAATCACCTATACATTTCACGGTTTCTGCAGTAGGTACTGCCCTTCGGTTCATTATCAGATGTAAAAGTGAGTTATTGCTGAAACGTTTTTTGCCTAGTATGAAACCTTACGATTTGTGTTTTCGACTGCCTACCACTATAGTAGGCAATTCACTTTTCCATATATACATTGCATTTTTCTTCAAGGCGGTGATCATCAAAATCTGATAGAATTAACGTTAAATCGTCAGCGTATGCTGTGTACATTTCATTCCCTAAAACATTCTCTATATCATTAACGTAGAGAATGAAGAGGATTGGACCTAAAATTGATCCCTGCGGCACTTCCATATCGAGTTTGATTTTATCTGAATTTTTTTGTTATTATCCCATCATTACATTTATGTTTTATGCTCACATACTGAGTTCTATCCTGTAAAAAACTTGAAATCCATTGAAGTGCAACACCCCTGACTCCATATGTCACTAATTTCATTAATAATTTCATTAATAATTTATTATGATTGACTGTGATCCTGTGATGATCCTGTGAATGATATCTGATTTAATTCCATAACGAATGTTTGGAGTACAAACTGAATAGAAAAAAGTTTTTTTTTTGTATAATTCAATGTTCATATAAAAGTAGTTGTTTCAAGAATATTTTGTCTTTCATGGAATTCATGCTTTATATGAAATTGTTTCGAAAGGGCACATCTTTGTGAAGACTTGATTTTGAAATTAATTGATTTCTTCCAATCTTTGGACATTTCTTGAATAATGAGGGTGAAGTAGAAAGCTGAATCCTTTGTTTTCCGAAAACAAAATCATTCACCGTTTGTTGAATTTGTTTTATAATGATAAATTCATAATTATTCGGAAGATGTTTAAGGTACCAAAACCTAGTTGGTTTTAATTATATAACAATCGTACCTACTCAGTTCCTTCTTTGAAATGTTTAGAATTATTAGTAATCAAATAATTAGTGGGAGTTATTATAATTTTATTTATTGATATCTCTAAGTAACACCGTCTTGTTTACTTTATTAACAAACACTCCTGAAGAAGCCATGAAGAAACACGTGTTGTGGTTTTGTGAACGTTTGTATATACGTTTATGAAATATGAGAATTGTAGCTACTTTTTCATTTACATCGTATTTTTCCATCAATATGTATCACTACTGAAAAAAATTAAATTTTTACGCAGAAGAGGATGTACATTTTTTCATAAATAAGACTGCATCACAAAAAATGTTATTATTTTATTTGATTTGAAACTATATTCCAAAAACTAGGGAAACGATTTTGCAAATTGTACTTCCCCTTCCACGGTGAATCATCAAAACAGGATGTCTGGACAAAGTATAATGAATATTTCAAAATCAATATTGTTTGATAAATTTTGATTTTTTCCAAAGTAACGAGTGATTGTGAATGTATGGTGCATATAACACGTAATAAAATAGTTCTCCTTGATTATAAAACGGAAAGTTGTGACGGTAACAATAACTTTATCGCTCTCTGACCACTTTGATATCAACAAATATTCATGACTTCAAAAGTATTTTCGAAAATAGAATAATAAGCAGTGAGACTCACCCTCCAAAAGGCCATTGAGTTCAAGATACATCTTTTTGTAATCCGTTCCCATTTCAGCTAGTATTCGTTGAACAAATTAATGTCAATTAGGTTCAATAACAAGGTAGGTGGATTTTCAAAAAATAATCATGTCTCACCGAGTCACGACAATCGCGGACAAAAGCGCAGATTCACTGAAACTTTAAAATTGGACCTTTTCGCCCCACAGGGTGTTTCAGGTTCAAAATAAAGCACCGGGACTCTGATTCTACCACATCGTTCGACAAACTGTGTCATTTATTTATCATCTTGCTTGCTCTGTCTTTACCCACGCCCGGGGAAATAGTTTAATCGAATGTGCTATCAAATGGAAACCCAAGAACATTTTAATTGTTTATCATCTGCGGCTTAATCATCTCGTGAAAAATCTAACATTCAGGATCTATTTGCGGGAGGAACAGAGATAGTTTTTCCTATTTCTGAACATGATTTTGTTTTAGATATTGCTNTGAATCAGCAACTGTTCGATTTTTTCTAGATAATGGAATGAATCATCAACCGATAATTTTGGTATAAACTCAACTAACAGAAATAGGAATAAACTGTTCTATAGGAATTTATAGGTTTAAATGCTCTTGTTTCTCATTATTATAAATACCTCATGAATAATGTACATAAATCGAAAACTTTGTACTAAAAAAATTAAATCATCTGAAACAAGTCTCATTCAAGATATATTTTGGAGAAAATGAGGTTGCTCTCCTCAAACATCAAAGAGCGTTATCAGTATGTTGCCCTAAACAATTGCAAATCTGATATAGCTAGAGTTACATCAAGTTTCCCCCAGGGTTCACATCTGGGGCCACTACTATTCGGCATTCAACTTATTGACTTCGAAAAATGCTTTGGTTTTTCAAAAATTCTGTTGTATGCTGTTGACATGACAATATTCTGTTCAACATATGATTTTTTACAGAGGGACATTGACAGGTTCTCCACTTTTTATCAAACATATAGATTCTCACTAAACTTCAACTCGTCGGGTGCTGCCCATAGTACATCTCAATACTAACGATCAATTACTGGATATAACTGATAAGACAATTGATTTAGGATTCACCCTGGATGGAAAACTGTGTTTTGACAGTCATGTAGATAAAACTGTCCAGAAAAGCTTAAGAACACTAGGTTTCTTGAACAGATGTACCAAGTACTTCAAAAACTATTCTTCGCTTCGAGTGATGTACCATACTATGATTAGTGAGACGTCTCGGGTCTCACTGAACTGTAGCCCTTACACTGTGAAAAGAAGACTGCTAAAATTTACACCTCATTTCTCCATTATGGTTACTCCCAATTTATCAGATGTACTTACAATTTCATAATGCCTGATGCCGATTTAGATAAGTTCAGGTTGAGTGAATATGCTTTCAAATGTGACTTGAAGAAACATATATCATCAATATATTGTTTGGCTTAGGTAAAACCGAATAGATTCTCGCATGTATTGTTTTGGTATGATAGCTTGCTATTATTTGTTTTCTATTGTTTATGGAAAGTATTTAGGTACTTTCTGTCTTCTCTTTTTCTTCACTTCAAGGTGTATGCTGTAGTTAGTTCCATACCTTTTTTTATAAGACTTATATTTTTCTTTCGGAGAGATTTCTAGATTTATATAACTCAAATTGGGATTTGTAATTTTGTGCCACTTTGTTATCGGGCTTGTCCTGTTGAATAGCTTATTTGTATAAATGAATATATAAATAAAATATTTGTGTTACGCCACTGTCTAATCACGCCATTTAACAATAATTTGACTCTCCCAGATACTGTTCAATTATATAATCTGAATTNAAATTAATCCAAAGTAGGAAAGTTACTTATCTACATTGTTATATAATACAAATATACACAGTATGAATTTTTATCACATTGTTCAATATCAGATATCAGCCATGAACCATTGAAAATATTATCTAAAACTAGTATTGCAAAAATAACATTTTTGGTATAGGAAACGCTCAATCGGATGGCAAATATTGTTCCTAAAATCAAATAAATAGGATAAACAAAACTGAATTTATTCTACAACTTTTTTTATAATATTTATTTCTCATCCGAGATCAGCTTCAGTTCATTGTCCCAAAATCGAGACAAATAAAATTTAAATTGTAAAAATTGTTAAATTTCTCTCATAATGGTTTTGATCAAGATTTTCTTTTTCCAGATAATCCATTCAAATTCTTTTATCCAATAGGAGCCTTTATTATCTAAGGCGTAGTTCAATAATGAACTCTGAAGCCCATGCCCTAATGTGTAGAGATTTTTATTGACCTATTTAGAAAACAGCTTGTTCAATGGAATCAGTGCTTACACACATCGGAATTGAATCATCAGAGAAACTATGTTGATGACTTCATTAACCTTGCTTGTCACTCTCACTGATTCTTTATGATCGGCAGCAGATCTAACTAACTCTACATTTCTATCCAAGTTTTCCACAATGCTCCTAATTGCCATGAAACGTCTTTGAAGTGAAGCCATCCAATCTTTTAACTGTTTCATGGTACTCATACAATATATGAGAGTGTACGACGGTACCATCCAACAAAACACCCCAAATAACAAAAGCTACATGAGTAACTCATGTCGTAAATTAACACTTTCTCTAAATGGGTTGAAAAACAATGCATGATGCAAGTATGAGTACCATCAAATAGAGGTACTAGCAGGAAAATCTGCTGGTACTGGTGCTGTGATAACAAAACTACTTCTTGATTTTTTCTCTATCCGCTATTCAGCAACGAGCTTTGAAGCTCCTGTCCTAATGCGTGTAGAAATTTGGATGGATTATTCAGGATACAAGTTTGTTCGTTAAAGAAAATTTTTGTTAAATTTGCCATCAGACTTGACAAAGCTGTAGACATAGACATCGGTGTTTTTATGTAGATACAGGCACAAATCTAACGAATAACAAATAGCACTTGTGGATTATTATGTGATATAACAATCAGCGTTTTGACGGCGGAATTAAATGATCCGGCAACTCAGACGGCAAATCGTTGCCGTCGATTTTGATGTTGATCAAATGCATGGCCAAAGCGAACTCTTCATTATCCAACATACCATCTTTGTCCACATCGGCGAGTTTCCATACCTTACTCAAAACGGAGTTTGGTAATTTTGACTTGACCATCTCGGTCTTGGCGGCTGTAATAAAAAAATTACATTTAAATATAACACAGTGTCATTACACGCTCACGTCGGTTTATACGGATATGCAAAATTTCATAGTTATCTTAGCAGGAAGTGTGACGAGGGAAATGAGGAAGACATTACCGGGCGAGTTGAATAATTTTGTGTCAGAGCAATCCGGGTGTGTACAAAAATCTCCATAAAAATAATACAAAGCTTATTGTTAAATCATCTGAAAATGGAATTTTTAACAGGTGATGATCGACTGTATTACCAAACATGCGCCAAACTAACTGACTATTATAAGACAACAAGTATAGCTGAGGCACCAGTCAATCTAACAAGACTCAACCTCTAACGGAAGCAAGAAACTCTTTGGAAGGTTCGAAATAGATGAGCATTTCAATCTAGCAGACCACTATTTTATAATATTCATACAGTCATTGTTCACTGTGGTTCTGGCGTTGAATTTGGTCATTATTACGCCTTGGTCGAAGACGAAACGGACGACAGTCGTGTCACGAAGTGTTCTGGCGATGCATTAAATAGATTGTAGCCTCTGGAGACACACTACATTTTGTTTTATAAGAGAGAGGACATTGGTAGATCAAGATCTTCAGATGATGTGGTGCTGCAGGTTTTTCCGGGTTTTCCTGCAGCTGAAAAAGCAAATGCGTCACTGGAATCAATGAAGTCGCCCCGGAGTGACAATTAATTTTTATTGTTGTTCTAATTTTATGTTTGAAAAAAAATTGAAAGTTCAGTTGCATGTATAAAATAGGAACAATACTAAATCGATATATCGATATCGATTTGTCGGTATCAATATCGACATTGACATCGGAATCGACATCGAATTCGAAATCGATATTGATATCGACATCAGAATCGACATCGATATCAAAATTCATATCAACATCGTCAAATCCATTTGGAAAAACGTTCTCAAGAAGTTTCTTCCACATAAAGGCAGTTCTCCGGAGTTATTGAACAGTAAAGCTCGAGGTGTACTCAGTTGAACCTCAAAACGATTAGCAGCCACAGTCCGTCGCGTATTTCTCATATGTACCGCTCTTTGTGGAATCAAATCTCCAACCTTCCTTCGATGTTCCAGACTATCAAGTTTGCAAGTGATGTCCGCGTATCTAATCAGGCGGATGGCTCTTTTCTGGATGGAATCCAGCAGCTTCAGGATATACTTAGGGCCGGAGCTCCATAGATGNTTGATCGTTTTAGTGCAAGAGAGTTCAAGATTATCAGCATTTATAAAAGTTCATGTTTGGTAAAAAAAATATCGAGATTAATTTATATCTTCTAAACGGTAATAGATAGGTATAGGGAAATAGTATATGAATTTGTTGACAAAGTGATAATGAATCAAAATGAAAATACAGAAACAAAAAAAAGAAAAAAAAAGAAAAGAAAAAACAAATACAAAAACAAACAGAAATGAAAATTCAAAAAGCAAAAAACGAGGGGCAAAATCTATGTTTGAGCTACTACTCAATGTTACTTTCAAATAGTTTTTTATTAAAATAGTCTGGCTAATTGGTTCTCCCAAAGCCAAAAAATTCAAACCACATACACACACACAGCAACTACCCCCCCTATTTTTTCAACGCCATGGGGGGTCGAGTGATACATCATTTGAAAGGCATTTTGTCCCTCTATTATTTGTATTTTTTTTTAAATTGGTTAATTCGTTTTTAAGAAATTAAATGTTGAACGTTTTATTCAAGAAAAAACAGAAAATTCGCTGTCGCTCATTTTATTGAGGAAATCAACAACAAATAATATCAGTAGAAACAAAATCAACAGAAAATTTTTCAAAATGACCTCCACCTAGTTCTATACCATAATACAGTCTACTCTCGACAGCGTTCCGTACATTATTCAACATGTCCGGTGTCAGCAATCGGCATTCCCGAACAATTCTCTGTCGCAGGTCTTCTAGATTTGTAGGCACTTTCGCTTCAGGTGTCCCCACAGAAAGAAGTCCATCGGTGTGAGATCAGGTGATCTAGCTGGCCACTCTACTGGACCACTTCTTTCGATCCAACGCACTGGAAAACGTTCGTCCAAAAACTGTCTCACCCGAACATCAAAATGTGGGAGTGCACCATCCTGCTGGAATGTTATTTCATTTTCTACTAAATTGCAATCATTTTCTGAAATCTGTATAATCATAGGATCTACACAGTCTTGTTATAGATTTAGGTATATGTCTCCATTAAGATTACCTTCAGTGAAGAATGGTACAACGATATGATTACCAAGAATGCCGGCCCAGACATTCAATTTTTGTGAAGTTTGTGAATGTGTTTCCATCACCAAGTGAGGATTCACATCGCTTCAGTAACGACAATTATGTCTATTCACTTCACCATTGAAGTTATTGATCAATTTCTCGCCGAACACCTCACAAAACTGAAGTCGACGTTCAGGATCATCTTCGTTTAATTCCTGAACTAGCCTTATTTTGAAAGGATGGAATTTGTAGGCTTTCAAAATCCGAAAAACACTAGTCAGAAAAATATCTATGAATCTCTATGACACCAGGTCTGAATGTTATGATGTTGAATTCGGAGTTCCGCAAAGTTCGATTTCAGAGCCACTGATTTTTTTATTTTTCATTAACGACCTTCATATACACGTTAGAACTGAAATGATGATTTTATATTCAGATGACACATCTATAGCTGAAGATGCTCGAACACCAGAGGAACTCCAAATGAAACTGAAAACTATTGCAGACCTTTTCTTAGCAAGGTGTAATTCCAACAAAAGTATTGTTGGAATTGCAAGTAAAACATGGTCGTACTGTCAATAAGAAGTGTTATCTTGTCTTGAAGGTATGCGCTGCTTGCGAGAAGCAATACGTCATTGCTTGTTCGTAATTTTTTAGCCTAAAACAACAACGTAATGATGCATCGGCCACCGTATTCACCAGATTTGGCCCCCTGAGACTTTTTCCTGTTTCCAAGAATGAATAGACATATGAAAGATTGGCGTTTTGCAACGATTGAGGAGATAAAATGAATCGCTGAAAGAAATCAAAGACACTTGTATATCATAACTGCTTCGAAGATCTGCGGGGACTACTTTGAAGGGGACAAAATAGAAATTGATGAATAAATATTAATATTTTTTGAGACAAATCAAAATTCAACTTGTTTTTTTGGACAGATTTCGTATAGTTTCTAACGAAAAACAAGAATAAAAACGTGTGGAGTCGGAAAGAAAACAAGACCTTTTCTTAGCGTGGTGTAATTCCAACAAAATTATTGTTAATGCAAGTAAAACCTGGTCGTATGGTCAATGAGGAGTATTATCTTGAAGGTATGCGCTGCTTGCGAGAAGCAATACGTCATTGCTTGTTCGTAATTTTTTAGCCTATAACAACAACGTAATGATGCATCGGCCACCGTATTCACCAGATTTGGCCCCCTGAGACTTTTTCCTGTTTCCAAGAATGAATAGACATATGAAAGATTGGCGTTTTGCAATGATTGAGGAGATAAAATGAATCGCTGAAAGAAATCAAAGACACTTGTATATCATAACTGCTTCGAAGATCTGCGGGGACTACTTTGAAGGGGACAAAATAGAAATTGATGAATAAATATTAATATTTTTTGAGACAAATTAAAATTCAACTTGTTTTTTTGGACAGATATCGTATAGTTTCTAACGAAAAACAAGAATTAAAACGTGTGGAGTCGGAAAGTAAAACAAGTGTTTCCGGAAACATGTAACGTGGCGAAGAAAGTGAGCTCTGGAAATGATTTTGGATTTTGGGTACAATCCATGCCGAGTGCATTTTTTTTCATCCGATCAATTTCAATGCAAACTATTTTAAATTGAATAGGATATTAAAAATAGGAGATATGTTTGAATACTTTTTTCAGGTTGTATACATTTTCAAAACTTATTCATTGTCTGCTGTTATAAACTGCTTTTTCTGTAAAGGGAAATAATTATTTTTTTCCAATATCGTTTTTCTTGTATTGTGCGTGTTGACGTGGTGTTAATAAAAAAGACGAATACGAACCAGGCTTTACTTGAAAACCCGAAGTTCTCTTGTAATGTGGCCAGAATTTTCATAAAAAAAGAATAAATTGATTGGTGTAGCCTTTACTTCGTGATAGGAGATCATCATGAAAAATTAAACTTTCTGTTTTATTGTATTAGTTTGAAAATGTCCACATAGGACGAAACTGCAGTAACATTAGTTACAAATAAAAGTGAAAAACATAGAAAGTTTCATTTCTCATAACAAAAAGAATAAAAAATCAAACATTATTTCATTTATAGTTATTCATTTCATTATCGATCAGAAATTGGTATAAGTATTTGGTCTCATACTTATTTCTCTTCGATAGTATTCTGTTATAAGTAGACACTAGAGTTTCATGAATAGAAAACCAATATCATCGGTTACTGTATTCTGGGTTGCATACAGGAGAACAAGAATTACTATAAAAATGGGTCTTCTCTTGGAAATGATTTGGGCTTGTTTACCAAGCCTGATAGTACCTCTAATTCAGCATTTATATCATTTTTTT